CAGCCCAGCTCCAGGTTGAGCTATTGTTCAGCATCTTAGCTGTAGAGGGCAGTGTCACTGGCCCTCATATGTGGGATCCGAACCGGGGCCCTCTGGCACCCCAAGCCAGCTCTTAACCATCGTGCCACTCGGCCGGCCCTAGATGTGTCATTTTTTTGTGTAAACTCTTCTTAGCCTTTGTTCCCTATCCAACCAGCCATGGGGAGGGTGCCCTCTTTCTGCCATTTGGATCTCCTTAGAATTGCTTAGTCAAAGGTTTTCTCCAGAGAGATTGTACTGTTTTACACTTCTAGCAGTGTCCAGTTCCCAGGATCACCAATGGCATTATCTTAAAAAATAGTTTACCTGTTAATCACATATTGTTTTCTTGGCTTGTCATACACCACTCCCAAACACATTATTGTCGGTGGAGAAAGCAGAACTGATCCTGCGTTGACAGCTCTCCCTTCTCCGTGTCTCAGACACCACCTCACCCCACTTCACCTTCTGCTCTGTTCCCGTCACAAAGCACTCACAGAGGAGGGGACACCCGTGCTTCTTCCCTGGCTCACCACCCGTGCGTGAACATCCATCATTTGTGAGCCATTCTCTTGAGCTCTGGTTTCCAGCAGGAGAGCCAGGCCTGAAGCAGGGCCCTGCAAGGCCAGCCAAAAGGTGGGCAGCCAGCCCACGATGTCTTCCGGACTTCACCGCCTACCCAGGGTCTGCCCTCTGTGCCTTATAATGGTGCTGAACTACTGAGAAAAAATACACTTATATGTTTTTTAGTTCTGTATTTATAATCCAAGACTCTTTGTAATTTTTAAACACTAATGAACCACCTTAAGTGAAAGAAACCTGGTTCTGTTTTAATCAACTAGGTTACCCAGCCTTTTATTGCACAGATGAGAATGATTAAACCTGCTGCCAAATTCCACTCAGACATTGACTAGTTTTGCACCTGTAAGTGGTGCTGTGCTCCAAGCACTTAGGCTGAGCAAATGTAATACAAATGCTAAGGACCTGCCAGGAGCACCCTTATGATTTATTTTTCATGGCTACAATAAACAGCAATGAGATTTTCCTTTCAAAAAGCTCCAGCCATGCTCGGGATAAAACCATATGGTGAATATCAAGTTTGAGGAATAGAGGCAGGAAAAGGAGAACAGGAATGGGACAGCGAGATTCCATAGTCATTTGCACAATTGTCATCCATCTCCGTGGGGTCTGGCTTCTGTGACAGGGCTGTCTCCCACCACCCACCACCATAGCCAATACTGAAGACCGCAATTTGGTGTCGGAAATATCTTAAGTAGAGCTCTTTCTCCATACCAGCTGTGGTCCGGTCCCCCTGATCAGTCATTCTTCCTCAAGTCTGTCTTCTCCACTTTGTCTTCAGCTCTGCAATGACAATTTTTAAATGAGAACCTGGCCGTGTCGTTCACGGTTTAAAATCATTCAGTGGCTTACCATCACACTGAGGTTAAAATCCCAACTCCTCAACATGGACTGCCATCAGCTCCAGCCTGCCTGTGCTGCCTTTTCTGCTATTTATATGTGTTCCCAGAAGCGCTGGACACATGCACACACCTCTTAGCACTGTGAGCTCCACATTCTCCAGGCTGCTACTTTGTGCTTTTGCATTCGCTATCCCTTCTAACTAGAAGACCCTCTTTGCCTGGCAAGATCCTTGTCGACCCAGCCCAAATGTTACTCCTCCCCATAAGGAAACCTTTCCCGGACCCCCAGAGTTACTTGGTCTGTGTCCTGTGCTTGCATAGCTTTGTGTGGAAATTTCCATCATAGCATTCACCATCTTGTTTTCATAATTTATCTTTTTACTGTTCTGTCTTTCTCATTACATCTAAACATTTCAAAGGCTGTGATGCCTTCAGCATCTGTCTATGCCTGGGACAGTCCACTGCCTGGACTATAATAGGGGGCGGGAGGGAGGGAGGGATTCTCCTATGAGCTCCTGTCATTCCTTGACCGCTTCCAGTCCTTCCCTCAGAGCTCAGCCGGTCCTCTTATGTCCTCACGGACACAAGCCTGGTTCCCAAGCCTCGGACTCCTCCGCTTCCCTCTTGCCCTCAGCACATGCCCTGCCTGGGTCCCTCTCCGTCCGCTCTTCAGAGGGATTGGCCTCTACCTCTTCCATCAGTTAGGATGGCAGCACTCTGGGCCACTGCCACACTGCGAGACCTGGCCTTACCATTGATTGGAGAGAATAAGGGAGAGCAATTCTCTTCCGGACTTTGTGGCCAGTTGAAGGGGACTCAGCTCGATTGCAGGTTTTGCCTACTTGGAACCCTGCTGGAGTGGTGCCGCTGAGCCCTTAAGCCTGCAGAGGGCATGAGCCGTAATTCTGCTGCTGTTTGCCAGGATCCCATGGAAAAGGGAGTTGAGGTTGAAAGGAACTGAGATGGTTTTGCTTTGTGGTGTTACACATATGCCCTCCTCTCAGGTTATCTAAGCACTACCTTCCTCTCAAAGACCAAATGAAGGTCAAAGTTACCGGTGATGCCTCCCTCTGCTTGAAGCACCTACAGTCATCTCTCTCTCTCTCTCCCAAATATGCTAAGCACTGCTCCCCTGGCTTCTAGCATCTGCTGTTTTCTATTTATTTGTTATTGCATATCTCTTTGGGGAAAGAAAGAAAATACTTAAGGTTTGTACATTTTGAAGTCAGGTGTACCTCTTTGGGCCCCAGTACCAAAGCAGTACCTTATATTCAGTACATACTTGGTACGTATGTCTTGATCATAAAGCTATCCTTAGAGTAGTGATTCTCAAAGTGTGGTGCCCAGACCAGCAGTATCAGTGGCACCTAGAAACTTGTTAAAAATACAGATCCTTGGGTCCCACCCCTGCTGACTCAGAACCTCGGAGGGTGGCGTCCAGCAATCTGTTTTTCAATAAGCCCTCCAGGTGGTTTGGACAGCCCTCCAATAAAATGAGTGGCATATGGGTTATTATTGGCTATTCAGAAAAGTGTGTTCCTTTCTCAAGTGTAAATCATTACAGTTCATCTTTAAAAAAAAAATGAGATTATTCAGAGGGAGAAAAAGATCCGTGCTCTGGCTTTCTGAGAGAGTGGCTCTTTTTAAAATGAGAAGAAGAAGACTTTCAGGATTACAGGATGAAATGGGTGGTGATACCTCTGAAGCGATTGGAAGCCCATCTCCCTTTTTATATTTTTAACAACAACAACAACAACAAAAATGGGAGTACAGATTGCCTTTGCCGATCTGCAATTGTGAAAGCTCAGCTAGGAAGAGTTTGCTTCGCACATCCATCAGCAGACCTGTATCCGGTTTCCTTTGGCACCGGGAGTCAGTTCTAATGTCTTTGGAATCAGCAGTTTGGGAGAATCTTGGAGATCTTTTGGATGATTAGGTTTTAAGCAGGAATAAAGGACCTCAGCTCTCCAAAGGAAAGAAGACCCAAGCTGGATCTGACAGCTCTGTAAGTTTGCTATCGGTGTTCGATTCTTTGTTCGTTGGTGCAATAGTCAGGAGGTATGAGAACCTGAATCACAGCCTTCTGGAAAAGTCATCACCCCCTGAGGTAGATCTCCATCCAGATATAGAAGGAAAAGGAGAGGAGCCCTCGTGTTTTATTTGGATTGAATAATTGATAAAGCGTTTGCTCTAAATGTTTCCACAAGTGTCTGGGCATTGAGGATTTGTACTGCAGCATCCAAAAGGACCCTTTCTGGTTGAGTCAGGCTGCCCTGGATGGGACACTGGGGCCTGAGCTGGGTTTCTCTGGTGGGTTGAATGTAAGGCAGAGACCAGTGAGCACCAAGTGCGTTAGCTTGTGATTCGTTTTAAAACAGGGAGAGCCCAGTGTCTGGCTGAAAACCAGATCTTCACAGAGTAAAACTATTAATGCAGAGAGACCCTGGCACAGGGCTCCTGAGTTTTTTTGTGAGGAGAGTGAATGTTCTTTCCTGCAAGCCTGGAGGGGCCCAGGCGGCTGTTACGACAGGCTGCTCATAAGGGCAGCAGTGGGCTCTGGGGTTCTGAGCACAAGGCGGTGGCAGCCACTGCTTAAAGATGTCCTCATTCTCCTGGGTCAGG